ATAATCATTTCCTGGTGTTGGGGGGAGGTGGCCATTTTCACATTGCGCTGGATGACCCTGAGTGGGATCTTCAGTTGGACAAGTCTCAAGTCACATCTGCTTTCTGCACGTGTCTTTGGCAGGGGGTTGGCCAGATGCGTAGGGCCAGCCCCTTAGACCCAGTCCCTTCTTTCCATAGTTTGGCTCCAAGGAAAACAGAGGAAGAGGAGGAGGAGGAGCTAGAGGAGACTGCGCAGGAGAAGAAGCTACGTTTGGCCAAACTCTACCTTGAGCAGCTTAAGCAGCAAGGTGAGCTGGGGGAACTAGATGAAGGCCGGGGTCTCTGCCAGAACCTACCTGCTGTCCCTGTTGTAGCCCCGGCCATCTGATGGGCCACTCATAGGTTCCCCTGTTTGCCAGTGCTGCTGATCTTAACCACCTTGTGGAGGGTGTCTATGATCTCTAATGGGCCAGGATTTCCCAGGACAGACTAGGCTTGAGGGGAGCTAAGCCCAGTGTGATAAACAAAGTCAGGAAGGGACTGTCTAGTTTTCCCTAGAGAGTGCTAGAAGTGTCCCGGGGTAGAGGGCTAGGCATGGGATGGGAGGAGGAAAGGGCACCTCAGCCTTGGGTTATGTGGACTGGTCTGTCCTGCACAGAGGAGGAGAAGGCTGAAGCTCGTGAATTTGAGGAGGATCAAGTGGCGGGACGCTTAAAAGAAGACGTGGTGAGTGTGGAGGGCAGCGGTGAGTGCGGAGGGAGATGGGGCTTCCTTCCAGTTCCTCATTCCTCTTTCTTCTCTCTTTGCAGCTCGAGCAGAGAGGCAGGTTACAGAAGTCAGTGGCAAAGGAGGTGAGTGGGCAGGGCAGCACCTTGGTGTAAGGTTAGAGTCATTGCACTCACCTGGGTTGACAAGCAGACGGCTTAGTGCCCCTCAGGCTGTTGGAGTCTTTTTGTGGTATACAGTGGTAGATACTTGGGCAGATATGGCTAGGTAATGAAAGGTCTTATTCTCATGACCTTGGGGCCCGTTTTCCTTCTGGCTAGGGTGGGTGGGTAAGAATAGTTCTGGACTGGGAGTGTCATCATGGTTCCAACTATAGTGACCTGGTCCTTGTCTGCCCAGATCCAGACCCCGGCTCCCACCGACATTCGAGTTTTACGGGGCCACCAGCTCTCAATCACGTGCTTGGTTATCACTCCTGATGACCTGGCCATCTTCTCCGCCGCCAAAGACTGCACCATCATTAAGTGTGAGTGAGACCTTGAGGGCCTGTGTCTGGTGCAGAGCCCTGGTTATGGAAGCTACCTAGGAGGAGCTTTGTGAGTGACAGTGAAAGCTTCCAACCAGCGGTAGGGCCTCTGAGCTCCGTGGAGCAAAGACAGGATGAGGATAGTGCTGGGGAGTCGGCCACCGTTGTGCTGGATGGACACTGAATGGAATCTTCAGTCGGTCAGGTCCCATCCCTCAGTTTTCTACACACGTTGAGGATGGGGACTGAGGCCTCAGATGGGCAGCTGGGCTGGGAGGTGTTTGAGGCTCTACACTGACCGATGCAGTCCTTGGTCCTTCTAGATTCCTAGCCCTCCACACCTGAGCCTAGGCCTCACCTCCCGCCTTTATCCGAGGAAGGAATCGTGCCAACAGTCCCAGTGCACCTCTCTCTCTCTCTCTCTCTCTCTCTCTCTCTCTCATTCCCTCCCTCCTTTATCTTTTTTTTAATATATTTATTTATTTATTTATTTATTTATTTATTTATTTATTTATTTATTATGTATACAATATTCTGTCTTTATGTCTGCAGGCCAGAAGAGGGCACCAAACCCCATTACAGATGGTTGTGAGCCACCATGTGGTTGCTGGGAATTGAACTCAGTACCTTTGGAAGAGCAGGCAATGCTCTTAACCTCTGAGCCATCTCTCCAGCCCCCCTCCTTTATCTTTTTAATGCTGTTTATTTTGTGTATGGGTGTGCACCTATGCCACAACCCACGTGTTGAGATGTCAGGACAACATGTGATAGTCGAGTAGGTTCTGGGGACTGAGTTGAGGTTCGTGCACATGGCAAGTGGTCCCCACTGAGCATACCTCCAATCTCCAAGGCACTTTTAAATTCTTCTCCCTCCTTTGGGGGGTCATGGCTGCCATTGGGGACTATTGTTCCCATTTGGCAGATGAGACCAAAGTGATTTGTGTAGACGCTCACAGCAGCTGAACTGGGTCCCCTGACCCAAGTACAGGGCTCCCTTCATGACGCTTGTCCATGCAGCTCTTTCATGGTGGGGGAGGCATGGTTGGCTAAGCCAGTGGTGTCCCCCTTCCCAGTAATCTCTTTCCTCTCTTGGTGGCAGGGAGTGTAGAGACTGGGCGGAAACTGCATGTAATTCCTCGAGCCAAGAAGGGTACCCAGGGGCAGCCTTCAGGCCACAGCAGCCATATCCTCTGCATGGCCATCTCCTCTGATGGCAAGTACCTTGTAAGACTGGGCTGGCCCTGTAGGCAGGTGGGCGGTTTGGCTGTGCAGTGTGTGTGCTTGTGGCTATTAATCTTCGTTCTCACAGGCCTCTGGTGACCGAAGCAAACTCATTCTAATTTGGGAGGCCCAGAGCTGCCAGCACCTGTACACCTTCACGGGACACCGGGACGCTGTGTCGGTGAGGCTCTGGGTATTTAGTGGATGGTACTGGGCCCCAGCTCATCTTCTGGGGACCTCCTCTCTGGGTAGTGAGTGCTGTGTAAGGGACCTAAGTGTGCTGAAGACACTGGGAGGGGTGGAAGGAGATCTGGTCCGGCTGATACCGGAGCCAGGAGGGCCTGAGGGGGTCCAGCTATTTGAGTACAGACAAGCACGTTCCTGACTCCACATGGGGTCTCATGTTTTATCTTCAGTGCTCTGTGGGAGGAGGCTTCCTGTGTCACGTGACTTGCTTTAGGAGAGCCTCTCTGGGCCTGTCTTCTGTTTCCTCTGCTTAGTCCTGACCCTGCTGCCCCTCCCCATCTGCTCTAGGGACTGGCCTTCCGAAGAGGTACCCACCAGCTCTACAGCACATCCCACGACCGCTCAGTGAAGGTGTGGAATGCAGCCGAGAACTCCTATGTGGAGACCCTGTGAGTGCGCTCGGGCAGATGGCATGTGAATGCCGGTTCACGCATACCTCTAAGTTCAACGTGACGCTCTCTTCTTCCCTCCAGCTTTGGGCACCAGGATGCTGTGGCCGCATTGGACGCCCTTAGCCGAGAGTGCTGTGTGACAGCTGGGGGCCGGGATGGGACTGTGCGTGTATGGAAGATCCCAGAGGAATCCCAGCTTGTCTTCTATGGCCACCAGTAAGGCAGTCTGCTGTGGCGTGCCGGGGCTCTATGGGCTGGTGAGAGCGCTGGACCTTGTCCCTCACACACTCTCTCTCTAGGGGCTCCATTGACTGTATCCATCTGATCAATGAGGAGCACATGGTGTCCGGTGCAGATGATGGGTAAGAGTTATTCCTCTGATGTGACTGACCACTGCTGCTATGACCATTCCCGCCTGTCAGGGCCTTTCCATATTCCTCAGCTGGCCTGTGTGCTTGGTCCTCTCTGCTCTTTGCCTCTGTCCTGCTCTTGCCCTCAGACTCTCTTCCCTACCCACAGCTCCGTGGCCTTGTGGGGCCTCTCCAAGAAACGGCCGCTTGCCCTCCAGCGGGAAGCTCACGGACTGCATGGGGAGCCAGGCCTGGAGCAGCCCTACTGGGTGTCATCGGTGGCGGCCCTGCTTAATACAGACCTTGTGGCCACAGGTGGGTGCTCTGTGAAGGGGGGAAGAGGGGCACAAGGTGACTTGGTGTAGGGGTTTGCTCATTGATCCTCTGTTTTCCAAGGCTCCCACAATGCCTGTGTGCGGCTTTGGCAGTGTGGAGAGGGCTTCCGACAGCTTGACCCTCTTTGTGACATCCCCCTGGTAAGTGGTAAATGCATAAGCCTGTCTTTGCCAGACTCTGGGGGCCCCTGGAATGAGCTCTTTCTGCTCTTCCCACAAGCAAGGCCACTTACTGTTGCAGGGACTCCCTCTTTCCTCCTGCTCTGTCCCCCTGCCTCTCCGCCCTGTGCTGTCCTGGCTTCAATATACAGGGTTGAGAGTTGCATGGCCAGAAGGTGGAGGCCTGCACTGGGCTTAGCTCTGCCTCGCTGGTACTGGCTTGAGACCAGGTGGGGGTGTACGGAATTGATTATCCACATTGGGGTGACCTGTGGGGTTGTGGTGGGATATGTCAGAGACAGCTTGAGTCGGGATGGCTGTTCTGGGGTTCCTTGTACCCCACTGCCAGGTGCCAGGCCCGAGGCAGCTCTTGACACACTTGATGGGCACTGCCTCCTGAATCCATTCCCTGCTAGGCTGGCTCTATTTTCCCCTGGCTCAGATTGGGAGGCTAAGGCTTCAGAGAGAAAGGACTGGTCCGCCTGACCAGAGACAGCGGGCAGCAGGTTTTCACCAGGCTCTTGATTGATGTTGGCAGCTAGTGAGGATAGTTCTGATGTCTTTCTGTGTCCCCCTCAGGTTGGTTTTATCAACAGCCTCAAGTTCTCCAGTGCTGGGGACTTCTTGGTGGCTGGAGTGGGCCAGGAGCACAGGTGCGTGATGGGGGCGGGGCTGAGGGCAGGGTGATGGGGGTGGGGCTGAGGGCAGGGTGATGGAGGGCGGGGCTGAGGGCAGGATGGCACTGGCCAGATGGGACTAGGAGGGGGTTGGAGGGTGGGGGTGGGTCTGCCTTAGCTGCCGCTCTCATTCCTCACAGGCTTGGCCGGTGGTGGAGGATCAAAGAGGCTCGGAATTCAGTCTGCATCATCCCTCTGCGCAGAGTCCCTGCGGCCCCTGTTGCTGGCTCCTGACACTCGTCCTTATTTAAGTGCTTTCTAGACCCTGCCCCCCTTTTTGTATTAAAGCCTCCTATTTTAGACTTTGTTCTTCTGGTTCCTGGGAGGGTTAGCAGCAGGGGTGTGTGACAGGGACCAGGAGCTGGCAGAGACCCGAGGAAGGGCAAGCTGTCAGCTGAAGGCCTTTGGTTGTTTTCAGAGGACTGTGGGTGGGAACCTCTGCTGGCTCGTGCATGACCTCGTCAGCCAGCTGCTTTCAGAGTCTGCTCACCCATCAGCCAAAAAGCTCTGGCTTTCAGTTCTGTGCGCAAGATCTAACTGGGGTCTGAGGATTAAATGGGATAGCAGGGCTACACGTCAGGCTGACCGTACTTCCCTACCCTCAGGAAGCTGGAAGGGATAGACGGCCCTCGAAGTGGGAGTCTGACATGCTTGGGGACAAGGTCAGCACTGGGGAAGAGATCTTCGATCTGATAGCAAGAGCCAGGCAGGGACCTGCTGGAGAGGCATTAGAGGAATACTTGCTTCTGCATGTTGGGTGGCTCACTCCTGTCGTAGGGGTGCAGCAGTGGAGGGGAGGAGAGACTGGGGAGACAGAAGAGTAGGGCAGGTGGTCAGGTGCGACATTGAGGTGTAAGAAGTGATGAGGAGGGTTATTTAGTTAAGAATATGGGCAAATAGAGTAGCCAGAGCATAGAGTGCCGCGGAAGACGATAGGTGGCTAACAGGATCGCAGGTCAGATGGGAGCGGGTCCCGGGAGCAGCCAGCCTATTCTTGCTTGGGAGACTGAGGGAGGAAGAAATAAGAAAAAGTACGTGTGTAGGTCTGCGTTTGGGTGGGCCTCTCGGTGGCACAGCTGAAGTGCTGCCTGTGGGTTTGTGTAGGCTTCACCACTGGCTGTGTTGCTTAAACATAGTCTTTCCCAGAACACCTACTCCCTGCCTCTACCTGCCGCTGCCAAACCTCCAGGCCTCTGACGGTGGTGAGGGGCTTTCCTTGGGAGGTGTCCATGATGTTTGGGCTTGAGCATTAGTGACCTGTGAAGGGGAATGTGAGGGCACAGCTCTCTCGGGCCCTCACTTGACCCTGGGCTCAGTGATGGAGGAACAGCAAGTCCTCGCCCTCTGGTCCTTCAGGACTTGCATAGCTCTATGTTGCTCTTGTCCTTGTTCAGTCGGGTTGAGAGAGCACTCCCAGGGTGGATGACTGAAACTGTTTTGTCTGGGCTCATTGCCCACACGCCAGTGTCCTGGGGAGTGAGGACAGAAACCTGAGCGGCTCATTTCCAGCTTGTGCTCCTCACCCAGGCTCAGACAATGGTTTTCCCTTCCCAGTTGGTAAGAATTTCTAGAATGTGAAGAATTCCCCAGAAAGAAAAGTGGTTTTATACTCTTCCTTCTATATCGAGGCTTAGTAGATTCCTGTCTTTATGATTTCAGGGCTAGACTGGGTTATTCTTGGGGCACCAATGTGTACTCAGGAGACTCTTGGGACGAAGTTTGTGGAGCGTGTGAATGACACCCCATTAGCTGGTGGATGGCATCCATGTTGGCTGGTGTTTGGAGTGTGTGGATGGCACCTGTGTTGGCTGGTATGTGGAGCTTGTAGATGGCACCCCGTTGGCTGGTGTGTGGAGTGTGTGGATGGCACCCCGTTGGCTGGTGTGTGGAGTGTGTGGATGGCACCCCGTTGGCTGGTGTGTGGAGTGTGTGGATAGGCACCCCGTTGGCTGGTGTAGAATATGGAACGTGTGGATGGTACCCCGTTGGCTGGTATGAGGAGCGTGTGGATGGTACCTGTGTTGGCTGGTGTGTGGAGTGTGTGGATGGCACCCCGTTGGCTGGTATGAGGAGCGTGTGGATGGTACCTGTGTTGGCTGGTGTGTGGAGTGTGTGGATGGCACCCGTGTTGGCTGGTGATGTAGAAGACATTTTCTTTGGCAGCCACTCAGCCCTTGACTAATGCCACCTGGTCTTCCAGTCCTCTAACAGAGCTGTGTGACCACCTTTGTCAGTTCAGCGCCTTCTCGAATGCCCACAAACCCAACCTTGAGGATTCTCTATGGGAGAACATGGTTTCCTTCCTGTAATCAAGCTGCAAAGATGTAGGCATCAAAGTTGGAGCCTCATCAGCAGTTCCAGGAAACAAATTAGAGTCCTAAAACTGAGAACAGCAGAGGATATGGAATTCACCTCCACATGTTTTTAGAAATAAAAGTTGGCCTCTTCTAAAATTGTTTTGAAAATACTGCACATATATAGTTTTTGTTTTTTCAAGACAGGTTTTTTTTCTGCGTACCCTTGACTGTCCAGGAACTCACTCTAGACCAGGCTGATCTTGAACTCAGAGATTAACCTGCCCCTGCCTCCTGAGTGCTGGGATTAAAGGTGTGCCCCACCATAGCCTAGTCACTAACTTTATTTATGTGTCTGCCTATATGTGGATATCATGTGGGTGCAGTGCCTGTGGGTGCCAGCAGAGGACACTGGTTGCTTGGAACTGAAATTGACAGGCAGTGAGTTGCCGGTTGTGGGCTGAGAATTAAACTCAGATTCTCTCTAAGAACAAGTTCCACCCAGAATGACACCTAGGTATCTGAATGACGCAAGGCCAGTATTCTACCCTGAAGCAGGTCCCTGTAGGTGTTTTGATAATGATCTCAGTGTTTTCTTAGAAAGTGAGATTTCTCTGCTGTTAATGTAGCTCATTGCCAATGTCAGCTGACCTCTGGTGAGGCTTTTTTTTTTTTAAGATTTACTTATTTATTATGTATACAGTGTTCTGCCTGTTGTGTATGCCTGCAGGCCAATTAAGGGCACCAGATCTCATTATAGATGGTTGTAAGCCACCATGTTGTTGCTGGGATTTGAATTCAGAACCTTTGGAAGAGCAACCAGTGCTCTTAACCTCTGAGCCATCTCTCCAGCCCTCTGGGGAGGCTCTTGCGGCAGATGGCAAGTGCATATGTAAGTGAGAGTGATTATATCACCCAATAGGAAGCCAGAAATTCAGGGGTGACCCCTGCAATAGTCCTTTCCAAGGGTAGCAACTTCAGTGACATAAGGACCTGCAAGTAGACTCTGACTTACCTCTTAAAGATCTTTTTAAAATTTAAAAAATTTTAAATGGCACCTCCACCCATGTGTGTGTGTTGAGAGGTTAAAAAACAATGGTCACAAACGCCTGTACGTTATCCTTTCCAAATTGAGGCGAATGGATCTTTCTGTCACTCTGCTCCCACAACCTGCCTCCTGCATCTCATGCACCCCATTAATTTCACACTGACACTTCTAGCCTGACATGACCCCCTCCTTTTCAGTATACTCCCCCTATTCTATCCTAACCATACACATTCTGAAAGCACTGCCCAGGGACTCCTGGGACCGGGCCTCTGGTGGACTCCTGGCCTCGCGCTGTCAAGGTGGGTCTTTGGGAGGTAAGATCAGCAGAAAGGGCGCCCTCAGGTAGCAACTGCCTTTCGCCTGCCTGGCACTTTCAAGGGCAGAAGAAGAAGACTGAACCCAGACCCGAGATGGAGTCCAGGCTGGTTCTTGGGGTCTCCAGGGCATCGAATGGGTAGGGTAGATGCCCTGTCGTCACAGTTTGTGTAAATGCCTTTCACCTATGTTCTTGTTCGGGTATGTCCATCATTACGCCCTTAGTCTGCGCAAGTGCAGTCACAGTAGTCCAACTTCCTTTCCTAACAAATGCCTCTCAGTAGTAAAGATCATCTCATCATTTCTACTTTTTGAGACTAGCTCAGGCTGGCCTTGATCCCAAAGCAATCCTCCTGCTTCAGCTTCCTAAGTGCCGGAATTACAGGCATGAACCACCATGTCTGACTTAACTCACTACATTTTAATATTTATATAGTCTTTGAAGGCATAAGCAGTTAGCCTCTGTACCTCCCTGAATATGCCCGATCTTGTCCGAAGTTATGAGCAGACTATAAATCACTAAACCCTCCTCCATTGGTGAATATTCAAAAATGCAGGTAAGTGTTGTTACCAATGTTTCAGTATCCACCTTTATGTCAATGGGCCAGTGATTCTGGTGATTTGGCTTTGATTTGATTTGATGTGGTATTTATGGCAGAAAAAAAAAAAGGACAGCACTCTGTCTTTTCCTTAGACAGGACTCCACTGCTGCCTGAGTCACAGCTACCCTTGTGACATCATGAGTCACCCTCTGCTCTCAGCTCATGCAAATCCTGGAGCAGCACAAACCTGAGGGGATTTGAACCATCTACACCCAATCCATGTATGAACAATGGTAAGCAACAAAGGGCAGACACGTCAGGCTTGTTATGTCTATAAATCTCATGATGAGGGACCCCTCTGATAACTCAGAGTCTAGGAAGCAACCGGGCAGTGGTGGCATACGCCTTTAATCCCAGCACTCAGGAGGCAGAAGCCAGCCTGTACAGACTGTGTTTCAGGACAGCCATGAGTACACAGAGAAACCCTGACTTAGAAAACCTAGGGGGAAGAGAGTCTGGGATGCTCTAGAAGCTGGGGATGTGTGGGGTGCAGAACAGTGAGGGAGAGATGGTAACTCCACTCTTGATTTCCCCAATTGCTGGTACAGGATAAAAAACAGTCAAAGCCTGAAGATCTTAAAGAACCTACTGGCCATGTTCCTCAGGAGAAGCAGCCAGATGATCTATCCTCAGACACAAAGAAGGCAAAGGTAGGAGGAGATTTGGCTTGGGTGTCTCTGGCCCTTGTTCTTGGTGTGGTACCGAGCTAAGCATAGGTATAAATGATTTTCCCATGTTCCCGTTTCATTTTCAGCCTAAAACTCTGGTTCAGAAATGGAAAGCAAGGGGCTGAAGAGAAGGCTCAGCGATTAAGAGCACTAGCTACTCTTCCAAAGGACCCAGGTTCAATTCCCAGCACTCACTTGGCAGCTCACAACTGTCTGTAACTCCAGTTCCAGGGGATCTGACACCCGCACACAGACATACAAAACAAGGAAGGAAAGAAGGAAGGGAGGGAGGGAGGGAGGGAGGGAGGGAGGGAGGGAGGAAGGAAGGAAGGAAGGAAGGAAGGAAAGAAGGAAAAAAAATGGGAAGCATATGTTAGCGTGGAATTGGGCAACCTACGACCTCCCAGACCAAAGGCCTGGGGCTGAGTCTGGGATGTGCTTGTGGAATGGAATAGCCAAGATGTAGGGAAGTTGGCTTAGACTTGAGTGTGTATTGGTTGGGCGTGGTGGTGCATGTCTTTAATCCCAGCACTTTTGAGACGGAGGAAGGTGGGTCTCTGTTCAAGACCAGCCTGGTCCAAGGCTGTTAAACAGAGAAACCTTGTCTCAAAAACAAACAAAACAAACCCAAACCCCCCAAAACCAAAACCAAGCAAGAATTGTGTGTGCATGTTTACACTTGTGCACACAAGTCTGTTTGTCAAGATGAGAAGTGTGAAAGTCACGAGGAAGCCAAACCGGCCTGATGATGCACTTCAATAATTCCAGCACTTGGGAGGGGACAGTGAGATGGAGGCCAGCAAAGGCTACAGAGACCTTGTCTCGACACATCCCAACACACGCATGCACACACATACACATGCACGCACACGCACACACACACACACACACATGCACGCACACACACATACACATGCACGCACACACACGCATACACACATGCACGCACACACACATGCACGCGCACACATGCATACACACACGCGCACACACGCATACACACACGCACACGCATACACTCACGCACACGCACACACGGCGGGGGGCAGAGTGTGAGGAGAAGAATCAAGAACGAGAGAGATGAGAGATTGAAATATATGAGTTGGGGGAAATGTAAGATGAGGATTCAACAAGAGGAAGGGAAAAGGTGGAGGACGGGTAGAGTCAAGGAAGAGAGGAACAAATGAGCTACCAGACTCCAGGAGGGCCTCATGGGACGGGACATGGTCCTGGCTAGGTGGGCAAGCTTACCAGGACATAACCGTTTGATAAGTATGTGAGTCGCAGGTTTTGATCTCAGCCTGCTAACCTAGGCTGTAGGAACCTGGAACGCCAGGGCGGGAGAGACAGACTCAAGGAACTAGGGGAGCTGCTAGTGACCTGAAGCCGGAGGTGACAGCGGGCAGGACATTGATCCAGTCTTCTAGTTCCCAGCCAGTGTCCTGACCAAGGCTCTTCATTTCAGCGGGAGAGGGAGGCAGGTACTGATAGGGAATCAGGGCCTTTCTTGGCATATCCTTGGGCTGAGGCGGATGAGGAAATTCACTGAATATCCCCTCTTTTTCCTTGCAAGCCCCAGAAAAAACAGGATCTCACTGACAAGACCCTAGTTATAAAGATCCAAGCATGGTGGCGTGGCACACTGGTCCGTCGGGCGCTGCTGCATGCAGCCCTCAGGGCCTGGATCATCCAGGGCTGGTGGCGGCTAATCCTGCCGAAGATAATGGAGAAGAAGCGTCAGTCGGTACTGGATGCCTTCCAACGGGAACAGTGGGCAGTGGTCAGGGTGCAGTCCTGGATCCGCATGTGGCGAGTCCGCAGGCGGTACTGCCAGGTGCTTAGGGCTGTCCGGATCATCCAGTCTCACTGGAGGTGCCACATCTGCGCTTCACGGGGTGTCATCAAGGGCCACTACCGAATTACGGCCAGCCAGATGCATCTTGAGCTGGAGATCTTACTGGGCTCGGGGCCTTGTATCGTGTCCGAGTGTATTCCCCTCCCAATAAAGCAGTGAGGCGGTCTTATGCGGTTTCTCTGTCTGACAAGTTTCTGGAGGGCATGAGGGGAGACACTAACTCTGAAGAGTGGCAACCTTGGGTTCCTGTCTCCCTGCTGGACTAGCTCTTCAACCTCAGCTTCTGAGTCATAATCAGACACCCCAACGGGAAGCTGTTAAGACAGTCCTGCAGAATTCTTAGTCCCACTTTTCCCCTGAGCCACCAATGGAGAGTAGGTTCACTTCTCCACATCTGGCCAATGTGGGAGCTTCTATGGCATCCTGCTGCAAGCCCCATTCTCTGTGAGTGGCCAGGCCTCAGGCTATACAGACCCAGGAGCTGAGGCTCAGGTCTGTTTTCCTCTGCAAGGGATGTCCAGGCAGTGCTGGGCTCTCTTAAAGTCTCCTTCTGTGACATATTATTCCCCAAGGTGGGATTAGGGCCAGGTGATGGTAAAATGCCAACGACAGCCCAAGCTAGTCTGCCTGCCCCTCTTCCGGTCTGGGTATTGCCGTCCCAGAGACTCTTACAGAAAGGGAGGGTCTCTGAGACCTGGGTCTTTCCCTATAAGACTGTAGGCTCGGAGCCCCTGTCCAGCTCTATCGTATTGACTTCCCTGGCCAGCTGGTCCTTTGGCACATAGAGGTTCTGAGGTGCTGCCCAGAGGTGTCCCGGGTCAGCTGTCCTTATATTTAGGCATGGTTTCTCTGTTCCTGTCTCTGCCCTGCCCTGTGTCTGTTCAGAGCCTTGGTGTTTTCTTCCCACTCTGAAGGACTTCTCTGGTCTGGCCTCCTTTTGTCTTGTGCTCAGTGTCTCAGGGAAAAGCCCCCTAAGAGCCTGAGTAAAATCATGGGTTTTGCCTCTCACTGTTATTTGGGCATGGACATGTCAATTTTTTCAGCTTCCTGAGCTGGGGCTTATGATCCCTGCGTTTCAGGATTGAATATCAGGTACAAATTTTTGTCTCTTCCAAACTTCTCATTGTATTATTATTTTTTTAACTTTTTGGTTTTTCGAGACAGGGTTTCTCTGTGGCTTTGGAGCCTGTCCTGGAACTAGCTCTGTAGACCAGGCTGGTCTCGAACTCACAGAGATCCGCCTGCCTCTGCCTCCCGAGTGCTGGGATTAAAGGCGTGTGCCACCACCGCCCGGCTAAACTTCTCAGTGTATTATTTTTTTAAAATGATTTTTAAAACTGTATACATATTTACTATGTATACAGTGTTCTGCCTGCATGCCAGAAGAGGGCACCAGACCCCATTACAGATGGTTGTGAGCCACCATGTGGTTGCTGGGAATTGAACTCAGGACCTCTGGAAGAGCAACCAGTGCTCTTAACCTCTGAGCCATCTCTCCAGCCCCTCATTGTATTTTTTAGACATATACATTGTCAATTGCCTCTCAATAAGAAACTAGAAAATACTCAGGATCAGCAGCAAAGACGCAGACTTCAAATACCGGTGACTGAAAAAGAAGCGGCCAACTTTGACCTGCTGTAATAAATCCAGAGTCTGACCGGCTGGGCTTGATGGTACAAGCCTGTAATCTGAGCACTGAAGAGGCAGAGGAAGGAGGAAAGCTGTAAATTCAAGGCCAGCCTGGTCTTCATGGCAGTTCCTGGGCTAGCCAGAGCTGTGTAGCAGAACTCTGGACGGAGATGAGAAATACATCTGTACCAGCAATGTGCAGGCGTAGCTGAACCTGCTTCTGTATCTGCACTGATACCTGTGAGCCCCTCATCCCCAATGTAAACTCAGCCCATACCACTGCTCCCCTTTCCAAATTACTCTTTGTTTTTGCAAGACAGGGTTTCTCTGTGAAACAGTTCTGGCTGTCCTAGAACTCACTCTGTAGACCAGGCTGGCCTCAAACTCAGAGAGATCTGTCTACCTCTGCCTCCCGAGTTGTATGATTAAGGCATGTGCCACCACTGCCTGGCTTAAAGAATTTATTTTAAAAATCATGTGTCTATGTCCGTATGGAGATGCAGGAATATGGAGGTGCCTGTGGAGACCGAAAGAGGCTCTTGGCTCTTCTGGAGCTTGAATTATACGTGGTTGTGATCCACCGGATATGGATGTTGTGAACTGAACTCAAGTCCCCTTCGAAGCGCAGCAAACGCTTTCAACCACTGAGCCGCCCCCCCCCCCCCCATATTTCTAACTCTTAATTTTGAGTAGGCGATGATTTCTGATTCCCACAATCCAAAACAAAGGAGCTCTTCCTTGTATTGGACAAGTAAGTGGTTGCTGTCAGCTTCTCTCCTGCACAGACCTGTCCCCACCCTGCTGGAGCAGTGACAGACCCCCACCCCCAGGCAAACGGTGAGCTCTCTGCACTGCAGGTGGCTCAGGCTTCTGCTCAGAGTCCTGCGGCTCTGCAGATACTCCTCATCCAGCCGGAGCTAGAAACATGCTTCGTGCCTCGTCTCATGGTGCTCAAGTTCTGACTTCTCCAGACCACGGACACCTTTTCCCATCCCACTGGGCATGATTCACTGTAGCCCTAATAAGCTAGGCTTGGCTCCCCATCTCCAGGATGCCAATTAAAGAGACAAGCAATGGTGAAAAGGGGAGGGGATTAATCCAGTGGGGCCGCAGTCCAGAGAGACACAAATAAGGGATCCCGTGACTTCAAGTCTGCCTTTGGGGAGCTGGAATTAGCTTTAGGTTTAAACAGAACTGGGGCAAGGAGCAGGAGGTCTGTATAATTTAGCATCCCTGGTCTAGGTGTGGACTCCTCCATCATTGCCTTAGTTCTGGTCCTGCAAGGCGGTCTACAGAAGTCCCTCTTGCGTGAGAGCGTTGTTCTTAGGGTATCTGCTCCAGCGTGCAGCCTTGTTCTCATAGATCACTGCTATCATCTGGGGTGGGCTGTCTTCAAGGTTTGACAGCTCCTGGAGTCTAAGGTGACCACATGTTTAGGTCAGTCCATCTGTCTCTGTGCCTTCAGCCTTGAAGAGGATGAGATATTCAGATACTCCTTGGGCAACTAACAGTTGACCTGCAGAGATAGCCAGGGGTTTAAAGGGGAGGAGACAGACATGAATGAAGGCAAAGACGCCAGGTTTTTTTCTTGGAACTATTATAGTTACCTTGTGGGTGCACGTGAGGAGGGGTCGGTGGTTTTTAGAGCAGTTTCTAAATGCATGTTTCAATGATATGACCTTGGACCCCTCCTTCCATAGCCTGGCTCCTCTGCGGGTCGTTCCTCCCATGGCAGTGCCTTCCTGAAAGCATCTGGCATCTTCCTTGGCTCTGAGCCATTGTGATTCTCTTTTCCCATAATACCACCTGACTCAGTAACTTTCAGGATTGTTCAAGGAAGGGACCGGAAAAAAAAGAGAAAGGATAAGAGACAACCAAACATTCTGTTACAAAGCAGAATCATGCCATCTATAGAAAAATACAAAACAACAACAAAAAACAAACCAAACTTGCTGGCATTGCCTCTCCAGCAGGCCAGAGAAACTGGAGGGAGATGTGGAGTTGGCCGCTCTACAAACACACAGGAGCCTTATCTGAGGGGACAAAACTTAATTCACTCTCTTTTTCTGTCTTAATCCTTTTATACCTCCTAAGACAAATATCTCTATGCAAGAAGGGAATCACCTCACAACCACAAGTTACACATTTTCCAAAAACAAATTAAAATCTTTACATAGGAAGAAATCACATCGTGGTCACAAGTTTTTCTTAGAAGCCCACAAGGAGTTAAACATTTCCCTTTATATTATTTCTCCCACGGTAACATCTTCACCCCAATGGTTCTTTTATTATTGGTTAACAAGGTTTTAAGCAAGCCATGTGTGCTTCAGCCAGTTCCTTTGTACTGGCAGGAAGTTGTTTGCGGTCCCAGAGCAGCAGAATCCTAGCCTGTTCCTGCTCTACAAAACCTTTAGACAAGTGCTCAGATGGCCATCTGATTTTCTTTACACAAATAGGGTTATTTGGTTTCCTTTCACAACTTTGTTTTTTCAAGGTACACACTGAAAACTGTGATTAATTTTGTAAGCCACATGACCAAAGACCTCAGACCTAACTGGCATTTTCTTTGGTCTGCCAACCAGCTCCCAAATAAAGACACGGACACTTTTTATTATAAATGCTGACCTTAATTTAGGTTTGTCCCCCTAGCTCTTTTTTAACTTAATTTAACCTGCTTCTATTCCTATATGTTTTGCCTTGAGGCTTTTATCTTTCATTCATTCTGTATGTCCTACATTCCTGCTGCTTCCGTGTCTGGATGGCTGACGTCTGCCTGACTGGCTGGCCCCTGATGTCTCCTTTTCCTTCCTCCTCCTCCTCCTGAATCTGAATTCCAACTCCTATTTATTCTTCCTGCCTGGAATTTTCACCTACACCTCTTCCCTCACTATTGGCTATTCAGCTTTTTATTAGACCAATCAGGTGCCTTGGGCAGGCAAGGTAAAAGAGCAACACATTTTTACATAATTAAACAAATGCAACACAGCTTTGCTTAGTTAAATATTCTGCAGCACCTAACCTTGGGTGCAGGGATAGAATTGCCTTTTTTGATCATCAGCCTGTTTTTTCACAGAATTCATGGGTCTATCATGTATGAAACTTCCTTGTTTTTATTTTCCATCCTCGACAAATCTCACATCTCTAAGTGTCCTTGTGCTATAAAAAAAATCATTATGATCTGTAATTAAATTGCCCAGTGAGAAGTGAGATTTTCCCATGAAACAATCACGCCATATTAGATACAGTGGGATCCTTTCACATAATAATCACACCATGCCCGATACAGTAAAATCAATAGCAGCAAGTAGGACGAAGCACAGCAGAAGTAAGAGGCGCTCTGGCGACATCCAGGGCTTTGTCTCTCTGGGATGCACTCATTATAGCTGTGCTATCCAGGAAGCTTCACTCCACAAGTTCCATTGCTGGTTGCAGCTCCCCCCAGCATGGCCACTACCAAAGAGTGAAATTAATATCCTCAGTGGATGGAAGAGACTTCGTTAGGCACAAGATAACTATCATCCAAGAGCCAT